CCTGATTCTACAGTGCTCTTCAGATACCCATCAAAGCAAGGCAGAATGTCTTTAAAGTAAGGTCTCAATACATCATGAGGAAGGGTCTCGTTCCACGACTCCAAGGCATCAATGCCTGCCTGAGCTAGAGGAGGGTAACTAAGACCAAGCTTCAACGTCAGCTGAGGTAAAAAAAATGGAAAATAACCTTAAAAGCTTATAAGGAATTAATATTCTACTTYCAATGAAAAAACGTTTGGTTCCTTGGTTTTTCTACCAAAATTATGTTGTTGAACATCTGAGCAGGACACGACTAACTGACACATCAAGTTGGAATTTAGCGTGTTAGATTTTGGGGAATGAGTAAGRCAGGAGGAACCTTGAAATCAATGGAGAGACTTAACTCTACTCATAATTGATGCCGAGCCCAGGAAATAACCCGCGACCTCGAAGGAGGGAGACATGTGCACCTATGACTACACCACCCTTGATTCCCAACAGTATTGACAAGTCTTTACCTCTAGAGCKGGAACAATACTAGAGACGTCAAGCAGGACCAACTCGTGTGGCAGAGACACGACAAGCTCGAGACAGGAAGAAAGCAGGTCCTCCTTGTATTGCTTCATCTTTACTAAAACCTTGAAAGAAAAAAATAAAGAAGTATCGAGTTAAGGTATTAGAAATGGCTGAAGACTAAGGCTACATTTATATGTATTTTTTTGGACCTTGGGCAACACCATGGCGGGGGGACACCATAGCGGGGGGACACCATGACGTGGGAGCACCATGGTGGGGGGACACAATGGCRKGGAGACACCATGGTGGGAGGAACACCATGGCGGGAGGAACACCATGGCSGGAGGAACACTATGGCGGGAGGAACACCATGGTGGTGCAACACCATGGCAGGGAGACACCATTCCGGGGCAACGCCATCCCAGGGTGGTACCATGGCAAGGTGACACCATCCAAGGACGTAGACTTTCACGGGACTTTCATCTCGAGAGAACTGTTTAAACATGACCTTTCAAAACATACCTCTTGGATAAACTTTCTGAACAGAACAAAGCAGTTGGTACAATCACTGTTGTCTGCGACCTCTRTATCCATATCTTCAGCGGTCTTCTGGTTTTCCATTTTGATGTCCTGATGATAGTGATTATTATATTATTAGATTGAATGAGGGGGGAGGGGGAGGGGGAAAGAAGCCTTACACTCTACCCAGTCTCCCAAGAKAAAAAACGATTCCAATTCAATTTCAATTCCATCTTGTTTGGCTTCGATTTTCGGTATTTTTCTTGTACCTTGAAGAAACGAATCTCCTTGCYAATCTTCATGGTCACCTGGAGAAGTTTGTAGAACCCACTAATGACTGGAAACCTGWGTAAGACAAAAAGAAATAAAATATATTACAAACAGAATGTAGAATTCAAAGTCGATGGGAAGGATTGGAAGATCGATGGGTGCATAGATACATGCATGAAAGGATGGATGGATGGATGGATGGATGGATGGACGGATGGATGGATGATGGATGGATGGATGGATAGATGGATTCATGGATGCATGGAAGGAAGATGCATGGTGGATAAATAAATAGAGGAGAAGGAGCGAATGAATGAATGAAAGAGAAAACACGTACCTTGTTGACAAAACGATAATGTCTCTCCCAAAAACGTAGATCCAACGTTCAAACGATTGGTTACAGTGCACTGGTAGAACTGCCCTAAGAAACAAACAATAACAGATATCATAGTTACACTCTATTGCCTTCAAACGATTGCCACATTTGGTTCAGTTTCTATACATTGATTGTTATTGACCCAAATGCCTCGACATGAAACAATTGTTTGAATTAAATCAATAGTGCGTAACTCTGATATCTGTCATTTGAAAAATGTACAAGAACACTAAGTGAAAAAACATTTGAGACGCCAAATTCCATTCCAGAAATTTCCATGGACCTCCGAGCCCTCGACCTCTTGTAGGTAAATACTTACTTGCAAAAATCTACTAGGTTGATGAACACAAGAAAATCTTTCTGTACTCGCGGCTGCAGGCCAGCAACAGGGTCAGACAATACTAAATCAGTCTTGTCTGCATCACTGGGGCCAGAGGTGGACCTTTCTTGGGTGTCCTCGCCCTGAAAAAGATTGATTTTTTATTTTTATAATATGTTTCTAAAGTGGGTTCCCTGTGGAATGCCTCGGAAAGGTATTTTTATTCGTGCAACAAATGGCATCAGCTCTAAGCCAATCAAAATAATAACAATAATAACGGGGTTCTTATATAGCGCATTTTACATGGTCTCAATGCGCTTCAAAATCAATAAAATACTGTTGAATAGTAAAACACGCCAGCCAATAACCGCACGTACTATTGCCGTCAAATGGTGTCTGCTATGAACCAGTACAAAATCAGGAAGAACAAACCAACCAATCACAGTTCTTATCAGTACAGTTAAATGGTATCCGCATTAAAGATCTGCCTACAAAATCCCCCCCCCTCCCTCAAAAGACCTAAGAAATAAAAGCCTTAACTCTTACCTGATCGTCTGATTGACCATCTTTTGTAGATGTCAAGTCTAGTTTGTGGATAATTCTCAAAATTGCTTGAATCATTTCATCGTAAACCATCTCATGCATGGCTTCTCTCTTCTCCAGGTCTGTAGCCAATAAGTTGAGATGCTAGAAGAGGCAAAGAATAAAATAAATGGGTTAAAGGTATTCTTGCTTCTCCAACACAATTCCAGTTGGTTTTTTCCTTCTTTCCTTCTTTTTCTTTCTTCCTTCTTCCTTTCTTTCTTTCCTCCTTCATTTTCATTCACTTTATTTATTTGACGTGTTTCTCCATAGATGACGCATTTTTTGTCATCATCGTTCTTTATATGATCGTTGATGTTGCTGTCATCGTTGGTGTTGTTACTGTAACTGTTGCTACTGTGGTTGTTGTCACAGCCTTCGTTGTTGTTGTTATTGTTGCCGTCGTCGTTGCTACTATTACAATGAAGTGACAGTAACACCAGAATGATTAGACACCAACCTTAAACTTATTCTTATCAAGCAGATACTCCCACAGCTCAAGGTAATCCTTGTACGAAACTTTCTGTCGTCTTTGTAAACCATTTGCTTCCATGCCTTCATCGTCAACCTGAGAAAACAGTCATTGATTCATTCAGAATAACAACAACAACATTTATTTAGACAAGGTGTGTGAAGAAAAAAAAGGAATTTTGAAGTTGATTTTTCCAGAGGGAGGAAAACCGGAAAGCCTGGAAAAGAAACACAAGAGAGAACAAACACGCAACTCATGACCACAGCAGTAARAGGCACCAAATTAGCAGCGCACACCACCTATTGCATTTCTAAGAAGTATTTTCAAACGCCAGTCCTACATACGGGCAACCCCTTATGTAAATCACACCAGATCTATATACACAAATTTAATGACTCTCAAACAAACCTCGGAAATTACAACAGGATGAGAGCAAGTCCTTATGAGACCATGATAAACTGAAACGAAAGAAATACACAGGCGTTTTTATCTTGGGTGTAATAGTTTCCCATTTCAAACCTCGTGTCATTCCCTAGAGTATCATTTCTTTATTTAACGGTTGTGCATGAGAATATATCTCATTACCTTGGGTGCAATGTTTTCCCATTACAGACCACATGTCACTCTCTTAAGAATACGATTTTTTTATTGAGTTGTATCCATGTTCATGTGCCTTCTGCACAACAGTTAAACAAAGAAATGATACTTTTACTCAAGGTAAAAAGTAATGTTCAGTGGTTTTGCAACAAGTCGTACCATGTATTATTTTKTAACACTTAACATTTTCACTCTGTTACTATACTCACTGATTTGCGAGAGTAAATACTTGAGCACGGCTCCCTTGGTTGACAAGTTAAACAACAGCTTCACCAGAGACCTGWAGCAAAGGAATCTGGGTCCTTTGGTTAACTTGGGGAAGTGTTCAAACAGGACTATGATAAGTCTCTTGAGGGACACAAGAAAGCCGTCCGTGATCTGTTAAAAAAGAAGCATACCGTGACCAAGGGTTTTGATTGGTTCGTTACTAATTTCGCGCGCGGTTGCTCGTACAGTGACCGTATCAAGTGCAATTATTTTATGCAAAATAATTCTCTTTAAGTTAGAAAAAAAATGAAAAAGTTATATTGCTATCTTTCCTAATGCCAAAAATGCTAGAAAGCTTGCAAAATGTTCCTCTTCTATTTAGAAAACTTGCTAAAGGTGTGTAAACACCGATTACGACAAAACCAACCTTGGGAGATTTTTTTACCTCGTCAAGTTCTTCAATTTCTATTCAAAAAACTTGCTAAAAGTGTGTAAAAACCATTATAACAAAAGCAACCTTGGGCAATTTTTTACCTCGTTTAGTTCTTCAATTTCTATTCACAAAATTTGCTAAAAGTGTGCAAAAATACCGATTACAACAAACCCAACCTTGAGCAATTTTCTTACCTCTTCTAGTTTTTCATTTTCTATTCAAAAAACTTACTAAAAGTGTGTAAAAACACCGATTACGACAAAACCAACCAATTTTCTTACCTCGTCTAGTTCTTCAATTTCTTTTCAAAAAACTTGCTAAAGTGTGTAAGAAGCGATTATAACAAAACCAACCTTGGGCAATTTTCTTACCTCGTCTAGTTCTTCGATGATAAATGACAAAGCCTCCAGGAAATTTGGAAGCTGGTGGATTCTGTCTTCAATGAGTTCTCCTTTGCTGAAAGAGTAAAAGGAGGGGAAGGTTTGTTAATGGTTTAAATAACCGTCCTTGCTTCCTAAGAGGGTAGCACTTAATAGCCAGTTACTAACAAACCTGTGGGACTCATTCCATAATCGAATTTTAATTATAGGAGTTGATTTTTGGGGAAGGAGAAAAACCGGAGAAAAACCCTTGAAGCATAGGAGAAAACCACAAAACGGAAGCTTAGGCTGCGTTTCATAATGTATGGCAGAGGAGGGGGGAGGGGGGGGGGGTGCAGGTGAAAATTTGAAATGTTCAGAATAATTCTTAACACCCCCCTTAAAGTCATGCAAAAAAATACAATCCCCCCTAAGCAAGGCTTGTAGCTTCTTCTAAAAATTGTGCATGCCCCCCATTTTTCTGATAAAAATTTTCCCATCCCGCCTTTTTCCTACCAAAATTTTCCCAATCCCCCCTCAATTTCACCTGCCCCCCCCTACCATACATTATGAACGCAGCCTTAGTCCAGAAGCTCGACAAAATAAATTATTAGTTATAAGACACATGTCAATTAAATATATTATGACCCGACACACAAGTTCATAATTTAATTACCAACCTGAGATAGATTTGCTCACTTCGCTGCATCATTTCTGTAAACATAAACTTTACATCCTCTGTCTTCATGAACATCTTACATGRCTAAAATAATCATACGTTAATCATCCGTCGTAAGTAGATAGAATAGACCTATTTACCTTGGGCGTAAWGTTTTCTCATTTCAGRTCACATGTCATTCTCTTGATTATTATTTCTTTGTTTCTTCGCACGAGAAGACACATGAATATGGGTATGACTCAAACAAATGTGGTGTGAAATGGGAAAACATTACGCCCAAGGTAAAGAGGTCTAATTATCACGCGACCTTAGAGACACGAGGATTGTAACAGGAATGGGAAGGCAGAGGAGAGACGAAGAGGGAAGAAAATGTAAACATGGAAACGAGAAGAGAATCAYGTTAATGCAGAAATCGTGCAGACCTTTACATAAAATTGAACGAAAAGGACACACTCCACTTATATTGAYGAGGGCTTCCTAAAAATGGATTGGCACCTACAACACAATGCTTGGGACYGAAATTTGAGCAGTAAGGTGGGTTTAAAATGTCTTGATTAAAAAACCCGATTGCAATCACTGGGAAGGARAGGGTAGGGGAGAGAAAAGGAATCATGACAGGTGGAAAGGATGGCAAAGAAGGGAAGCATACCTTAGCAAAGAATCCATAACCTTTAATTCCAATGGCCATTTGACGAGTATCGCTTGTGTTGGTGTCAAGAATAGACCTGAACTTCATGATGAAGTACTACAAAGAAAGTGGTTTCATTTTACTACCAATACCATAATTCTTTGCAAATTTCATTTCCTTATTCAAATTGTTACTCTCTCATGGGAATGGTAAGAAAATGGATCCCTCTAAAATGATTTTAGATGCAAAGCTAACACTAAAATACAAAAGAAATGCTACAAATTCCATCTAGAAAAAATGATTTCTTTAATTAGTATTTTCATGTGAGCCTCACATCCAAGATTCTTTTGAACAAATTAAAGTTTGCAATATAGGCATTCTGGTAGTGGTAGTATATGTCACTATAATGCAAATGATCTATTGATGTAACAGCTCTTTTGAAATATATATCTTGTTAATTAAAACACCGAATGATTCTAGTGATTTAGTAAGTTTATTTATTTTACCTTAAAAATCTTCTTGGAGTCCAACGTTTCTTGGGGTTGTGAAATAATGTACTCTGACACCTGATAATTACACAATCAAAAGTAAGTCCTTGTATGTCATCATTGTCATCAACGTTTATACCAACACCATCATCATCATCATCATTACCATTATAATCACCACCGTCATCATCAATTATTAAGATATCATCACATTATCTCCACACCATCATCAACACCATCGTAACTATCATGACCATTGTCATGACCAACACCATCACCACTATCCCTGTCACCATCATCATCATCATAATCACCACCACCATCAACATCATCATGACCACCATCATCAAATCATTAACCATTATTAACACCAGCATCATCATCATTGTCATCATCATCATGACCACCAGCAGCATCATTCCCTTTATCATCATCATTATCGCCATTTCATCAACATTATCATAAATAAAGTAAACTTATTTTTTGCCAAAGAAAGCTTACTTCTTTCAAAAATGAGTCCATTGCAGCAATACCAGCATACTTAGTTTCTGTGTTATGATGACAACACCAGCGATAAAAACAATCATACRAAGCCTATCACAAATCAAACAATGGGTGAATGGAAACATCAGCAATGCCATGCTTTTCTAACAACAAGGAGAGGTACAACACAATTAAAACAAGTAGAAAACAATACGATGGATTAGTTGATGGATTAGGTTTATAGGACCCTTCTAATTAGCTTGGGCTAATGTCTTACTATTYCAAAACTCATGTCATTCCCTAGAGTATCATTTCTTTGTTTAATGGTTGCACATGAGGAGACACATGAATATATATAAAAATCACTTTATTTAAGTGTCTAATGGTTCTAGCGCTTTTGCACTAATGAGGGACTCACACRCTCACACSCACTACCACTACATTTAATGTTCTATGCACACAACGCTCAACTCACATGTTGATTTTTAAGGAGGGAGAAAACTGGAGAACATGGAGAAAACCCTYGTAGCACAGGAAAGAACAACACATCAAACAAACTCAATTCACGTGTGGCAACCGCAGGGTTCGAACCAGCGACAYGACCTGTTGGACTCACAGTGGTGAAAGAGATGCATTAGCCGCGTAAGCCACCATGCTACCCATGGATAGAACTTAAACAGAGAATCTTATTCTCATATGAATGAAACAAGCTCTGTAATAGGAAAACGTTATGCCCCAGGTGAAGACATCTATTATGTGGTAATACTTAGATTCAAAATTTATGACTTGAGTGAAGAACTGGTATTTTCTCACATCATGCACATTCCCTCCCTTTCCCTTCCTTTTCCTCATCCTACCCATGTTGCATTCTGTGCAACATTTGTGTCTGGTAGCAACAACAAACCTGATAGTCATTCGTCATGTATCCAATAAGCTGCCCAGCATGCTTTGCAAAAAGGTTAAGACCAGCTGAAAGAAAGAGAAAAAGTTCTTAAAGGCACTAGAGTAGATGTATACACACTGGTTGTACACACTGGCGACAAAGGTAAAGTTGTAGTTGTTGTTACAAGAATGGTTACTTATGATGATGTCTATCTTGATGCCACTGCTCCTGCTGATGACAATAATGAGGATGATGGTGATGATGAGGATGATGATGATAAAGATGGTGATGATAATGTTGATAAGGATAGTGATGATGATGATTATGTTAATGATAATAATGATGCTGATGATATGATGAGTATGGTGATGACAATAATGATTATGATGATGATGATGATGAGTATGGTGATATAATGATTATAAAGATGGTGATGATGATGGTGGTAATGATGATGTTGAAAATGATGTGGATGATGATAATGATGCTAGTGTTGATGACACTAAAGATGATCAAGGTATTGACGAATAATGCTTTTAGTAAGTATGGTGATGAAGCTAATACACCTGTATATTGATGAATGATGAATGATGATGATGATGATGATGATGATGAAAATAAAGAAAATGAGAATTGATGATTCTGTTGATGATGTTGATGGTAATACTGTTAAAGATAACAGTATTCACACATACCTCTAGGGACTTCATATCGAGTCAGGTCAACCTATGAAACAACCACATTCATAATATTATGAGCAAGAAATCCATGCACATAATGATKGAAGGATTTGGTATCATATCTTTGATCATATGTCTCTGAAGTAGATTGCCTAATATCTTAAATTATTATTTGGAAAAGGATAAAAAAATAAATACAATCATACTTGAGGATCAACAGCTCTTCTTACAAATCCATAAATATCTTTGGAAAATTTTGAACCTAAAATAAACAGTTTTAAGACAAAAATGTGAGCCCAAATCATGCAAGGTTGCAAAAGGTACTTTGTTTCTGCAGCAAGAAGGGAGGTAACAAGAATAACGTTTTAGGTTTTAAACCCACACTGAGGGTACGTGATATTAAAAAGTATATTTGCATATGAGCATACAATAAATATATAGTACAGACTGTGTAAAATGTTACCTTCTTCAACTGACTGAGTAAAGTTGACCAGAAATGACGTCAGGCCCTTCAAACAGCCTGCAATCACTGTCATATCTGGTTTCTTTGATTTCTTGCTAACCATCTAATTTCACAAATGAAGAATTGTATATCACCYTTATAGTGTCAAGGAATCAAGAGAACTTTTATATCATCCTGAAGTGGGGTTTGAATTACTACTGAGGAGGGGGTGGGTCTGAATAAGGGGCACATGACGTATATACATGCAATAAAATTCCTTTCCYATTCCAAAGAGAGAAAGATTGGATCTAACAAGGGGTGGGGTAGGTCTGTACAGGGGAATATTGTGCAGTTTCAAAAAATATCCATACCTCCTTATTGAGGGGGATTGGAATTTCCAAGGGGTGAGRAGGGAGAGGGTCTGAWAARGGTTTATTGTGTAGWACCAGAAAATATTKATTCCATTATTCACCAAGAGTGATTTGCAAGGGGAGGTGCAAATACACTCTACTGAGTTGTGACATTCAGATAAAAATTAAAAGAAAGTTTAACATTATAAAAAAATTACCTCAGATTTAAGTATGTTGATGTAAATCAAAAGAAGCCTGTCAGARTAGTTGATCATGTACTCAGGGAATTCCTCAGCAAAAATACCAAGAATTRCATAAATCCAATGGCGCACTACAAACAAACATTATACAAGCATTATACAATATAATTCATTTAAAACAACCCTAGCCTGCATAGCGGCACTTTGGGGAAGGGGGCGGAGAAGGAAAGGGGACTGGGGAGGAGGGAAGTCCCCCTCCCCTTACTCCTCTCCTCCCCTCCCCAATGTGCAGGACACAAGCTAAATCAACCAAACCTGTGGACTGTTGTTTTRAAGACTGCATACAAGCACTGAAATATCTGTAAAATTTTAAGGTTAAAGATTCATGCATCATCATATTTCACAAGCTTTAAAAATAAAGTATTACTTATTATAAAGTAATTTCACAATTTTKGGGGCATTTCTTGGCTGGGGGAAATTTGGGGGAGGGGGTGCAGAGGCATTCAATAAATCTCCCCAATATCTAGAAGAGAYAACTAGCTAAAAACTAGTGTGAGCTGCATCKGTGTTTCTAATGAAACAGTAATGGCAAAAGGGTAAATTTAACACTGGAGTAAAAGACTCAGAAGAAGGACTAGTGCCGAAATGTCAGTAAGTTTTTTCATCTTTTCATGGTGTTAAATTTACCCTTTTATCWTTACTCCCCAATATCTGTGATGGGACTAGATGATTTTACTTGTTCACTGTTCTAGTGATTTGTGATGGGTTGCCTCTTTACCTCATTGTAATATTGSTCACTCCCCGTCCCCCCTCCCACCACTGGCGTAGGCAATAGAGTCAGCTGTCACCTTGCAGATACCCCAATAATACGGACAACTATTGCAGACAAAAGCAAAATTCCCGGTGGAAAACAATGACAAAAAATGCTAGTGCGGACTCTACTTATTAAGGGCATAAAGTGATGGTCCTGAGTGTTCCAGTGTTACAAGAGTTGACTGCATTAGTTCTCATTAGTTTACAGGTTTTCAAGCATGTAGGATTTTCACTCTTTTAACTTAAGCCGGAAAACCGGCGCATGTTAGTAAAAGGGTCACCAAAGGATACTTGTCAACCAATTTTGGGACATCCAGTTTGTCAACAACAGACTTCTCAAGCTTCATCCCCAGTAACTACATTGTAAATTTAAAATATAAATATAAATATATCTACAGTACTAGTTGAATAATGCTTATAATTATTATAAAGACAAAAACAGAGTGAAAGACAACAGCTTGATAGAGCAGCTYTTACATGACTTTGAAAATGCCATGCAATGTATGTGCTGTGTTGTGCTTTGCAATGCTGTGCCATTCCTTGACCCTAAAAGCTCAATGACCTTGACAACTAAATGACCTTGACAACTCCATGACCATGAGCTATGAAAATGAAAAATTCCATGTAATGTATGTACTGTGCTGTGCTGTGTCATGGTGTGCTGTGATTTGTCATGCTGTGCTGTGCTGAGACATGCTATGCTGGTGTACTGTGTCATRACCATGTTGGTACCATGCCAAGGCATGTTTATCACCTGCGCACCGTTTTCATGGCTTAATTACCTGAACTAATAAAGGAAAGGTTTCCACTTTTACTTTACTTGTTTGTTCCAGTGAAAAAAGCTTCACACAGATATCCTATAATGTGAAGATTACAGATACTGTAGTCTCTAAAAAAAACTTTCTACTGGTATTGTGTAGCATGAACCACAGGAAGCCCAAAACAAACTATTGAGCATCTCATACTCCCACCCCAGATAGCAATTATTCTGAGTTTGTAATAGTAAACAATATGACCTCCAAAGAGGTTGTTGGTAGAATATTGTGAGGTTTTTGGTAGGTTGTTGGTAATATGTGGTGGAATGTTGGTAAATTAATGATAGGTTGTCGGTATGTTATCTGTGTGTTGTTTGATAGGATATCTGTATGATGTTCATAGTTTGTAGGTGTCTGTAAAAAAAGTAATGGCAGGTTGATGGTAGGTTGTCAGTAGRCWAATGGTGTGGTATCAGCCGATACCTTACTGACTTACTATCCAACCCTCCACTACTGGTAGTATGTTACATGTACCACAGGAAACCCAAACAAACATATTTCTAAACTAGTACCTTTATTTCAACAGCATAGGGGTTMACATGGCTTTCCAGCTTTTGGATATATGACTTTAGGAACTTCAAGATTTCTGTCTTACTCTCTGCAAACTGAAAGTGTAGACAGAAATGTTGACAAAACTAAATATCTCAAGTCMCCTGAAATATCAATACCTCCCTCATGGATGGGAAATGGAATTTCCAAGGGGTAGGGRATGTCTAAGAAGTGTATATTGTGTAGTTCCAAAAAAAATCCATATCTTCCCCATGGAGGGGYTTGGAATTTCCAAGGAGTGGGGAAGGTCTGAGAAGGGTACAGCGTATATTGTGTAGTTCCAGAAAAYATCCATACCTCCCCCATGGAGTGGGATGGGAATTTCCAAGGRGTAGGGATGGTCTGAGAAGGGTATATTTTTAGTACAGTGTAATGAAACTTTCTGCAAGAAGGGTACATTCCAAACTACAGGTATATGGGAGGTATAGAAAAATCCTAGAGATAAAAATCTAAAGGGATTACTGTATACCATCATTGTGCATATATTGATGTTTTGTCATCCATTCCCAAGAGAGTCAAAGGACAAACACATGGCAGCAATGTTGGTGGCATTAACTAATATGGATTCCAAAGTTAACAAGGAATCATACAAAAGATTGTTACCACCAACCTGAAGGGGTAAAATGGGAGTTGGGATCCCCCTTTTGGTCTGGGAAAATGGGATTTTATGCAATGGGAGTGGGAATAAAAAAAAATAGAATGGGATTGAGATTTAAGCAAACATAGGCTGGGACTATGGGATTTGGTCAAAATGGGGGCTGGGAAATGGGATTAGCCCCCCCCCCTCCCCCCCTCGAGGACCCTCTCCTAATAAAGAATGGTTTCACACACCTCATTATTTCCCACTGTTTTCTGCAGGAAACTGATAATGCCATTGCTTTCATTGAAGAGCAAAGATGAGCAATAAGCTGTTAAGAAGTATTAATGAAACATTAATAAAATAATAGTGGTCTTAGTGGCCTAAGGGGAGGGGGGATGGTGGAAAAGGGGAAAGGGGAGGAGGAAGTGAAGTGACCAGTTTTTCCCTGTACTCTGTCTTTGTTTAACAGTTGCAAATGAGAACACATGAATATGGATACAACAAAATGAAGAATCTTATTCTCAAGAGAATAAGATAGTGTTAAATGGGAAAACATTATCCTCAAGGTAAAAGGGTCTAATATTTTGTCATTAAAGTTAGGTGTTATGTGTACTCCCATTAAACCCGTCCTCTAAGATCTTCTTGTCGTTCACTCTTTCAATCCCTTAGCACTTTTCTTAGTTATGATCTTATATTGTCCCTTGGGGAATGGGGATATGTGACTCTTGACCGACAAAATATGCCGATCAGGAAGTCTTGACAAACGTTCTTGWCTTAAAGTAACAAAAATCGCAATTCTACAGGCTCTATTGTATCTTATAAAAGTMTAAATTCTTACCCAACTCTGAGTCTGAAACGCTTTGAAGACAGAACGTGCTCAAATCGACCACATGATTCGCTGAATCGACTCCACGATGAGGAGAATTCATCRACAACAAGTCGTGCATATGATTCAGGCATCTACTGACCGTATCTGTCATTTTGGAGAGGTTTTTTTCAACTTCCAAAAACTTTCAACTCATTTATTCTTTCTGTCATTTCTACCCACTGAATGTTTACGATTCCCCGGGAAAAGTCACGTGACCGATGGAGCATTCTACGCAGGAAACCCAAACCTTGATTYAAACATTTAAGAAACTAATAAAATAATGATGAGCAACATGAACGGAGCTGAAACGGAGCTTCACTATT